CATTAGCAGTTCCCGAGTATGTTTGTTAAAATTAAATACCCTGCGTCCCGGTGATTTCCCGAAACTGCGAGGGACACTCGTGGCGGGCCGTGGGAAGGGCTAATCGGGGATCCGGCTTCGAGTTATAATTATTTACGCCGCGACCCTTTTACCTCTCGAACGCGAAACTAAGTATTTACAACGTGACGTTTATTTCGACCCGAACCCGGTGACTTGGCAGACCACAGGCGCGTTTTACGATTTTCGATTCGGTCACCCGGCTCTACGGAGGCGATCGAATGGCATTCCGTCTGCGTTCTGCGCGCGGATCGCGCTCGCTCGTTTCTCGGGAACGGCCGAAACAGCTGGCCGAGAATTCGCCTCGAGTATTATCTCTTCCTCCTCTCGTAGCTCCTTTTTCTTTTCTCTCGTTCTTCTTCTTTTTTTTTAGAGCACGGCCAACGGAAAAAAATAGACTCGTCGCTTTCCGTGCTTGCGTCATTCTCGGGAGAAGCTCATTTGCGGCTACCGGTCTTTCGTCCACTCGTCGCGTAATTTTAACGCGTGTCATGCTCGTTTTGCCTTTGTTGTTCCGTGCTTCGAGCCGGGAAACACGACGTGGTTACAAGATTGAAGTCGCGGTTTAACGTGTCGACTGGCACGGTGGTCACCGATGACCGGCGCTTGCAAATTGCTCGAAAACAATCACCGCGCGCAAGACGATTGACGCGTTCTTATAGAATTGTTTGGCGACTCGAGTAACTGGACAATGTTTCTCGAGGATAGTAACGGATTAGTAATACCACCGAGCGACATAATCGTCTATTATATATTTTCTCACGCGCATCACTTTATAGAACGGTCATTGCCGTCATTCGCCTTTACATTCATCGGCTACAGACAGCATTCACGAATTAAAATCTCGATTGATTCGTATTTTCGACTGCACATCTCGAAGATCGTACACGTAGAAGTTCAAAGTGAACTCTACAATCCGAAGTACTTTTCGCTCGTCTGTGCTCTCTACGGAAGAGCGAGTTTTGCACGAAACATTCATCCTCGAGGCAACGAACGTGTTAACGCTTCGAGCGTGCTATTGCAACATTGGCACAGGGTGACGCGACGAATCAGGCGAGCGTTTCCGGTCTCGGCGACCTTGGCCAGGGCCCTCGCTATCCTTGGAGAGTCTCTAACCTCCTAGGATACTGCTTTTTTCACTCCCCTCCTCGTTCTCTTCTATTCCGCTCGGCGAAAAAGACCGTTCCCGCTTGTGGCGGTGCGACCTGACAGGCTTAACAGCGCACCGCTGCCCGCAGGAGGGGGAGGAATGGAGAACGAACTCGTCCTCGGGCGCAGACAAATGTATAAATCACCGAGTGACAAGTTCTCGACATCTACTTCGAATCCTATTCAGAAAATAGAGCATGCGATCTATAGCCAACCACCCCGGCACATATTCATATTTATGCACGGTTACGGCGCCTGTCCGAACGTTCTATCGGCGAATGCATCAAAACGCCTTCCGCCCCGGCCGGCGACGCGACGAGCAATTTTACCCGGCCGACGAGTACCCTGATTTCGAATGTTCTTTAACCCGTTTAGCCGGCAGTCATCGAGTTCGTTATCGACGTCGATGTTCCCCGGTTTCCTCCTCATCTCGTTAATCATTGTTGCATTTTCTTGCTCGCTGCATTCGAGCTGATTAGTCGGCGAACTGATTAATACCGCGAAGATTAACCCTTAATGGAGCAATGCTGCTATATGCGGCACTTTTACTTAGTGGACCCAACGCCGCAGGAATTATTTTATTTTTATGTTAAGGGTTGATGAAGAATAAGACTCGAGATATGATACTAGAAACTTGAGATTCGAAAGTTGGAATTCTAAAACTTCAGACTCGTAGTTGGACAATCTGAAATTTGAACCAAAGTCTGATAAGATCCGCAAAGTGAACTCCGTCACACTGAGACATTCCCGTCGCTCCAGCGGAACGGTAACCCTCAAAGTCGCCGTCTGTCGCGTCGGAAGTGCCGAAGCGCGATAAGTCCCGGCCGCAGGCACCTAAGAGGAATTCATTCGTAGGTCAACGGATTGTTCGCGTGTTTCTGCGACAACGTTCGTTAAGAAAAGGTAGGCGCGGCGTTGCGTGGCGCGTTGCGTCGCGAGCTCGCCGCGGGTATACGCGATTCTACTTGAAAAAGAGGAAATCACAAATGAAAGGGGAGAAAATGCGGTGTACAAGTTCTCCCGGGTCGTGCAACTCGTTCTCTACCCCCCTCCCTCTGCCTCTCTCTCGCTCATTCTCTCTCTCATTCTCTCTTCGTCTATCGCGAGCGTTTCCTCCGCTCTTGTACGGGAAATGGTGCACCTATCGTAGGCGTGCATTGTTCCCAGGGCAGCGGGGGAGGGGGGGAAGGCAGCGCATAGCCGCATTTTCCACGTGACGAACGAACCGCGTGTGCACACAGGTGTGCAGCTCCGGCCGACCTCCGCCGGCGCGGCGTGCTCGCTCGGTACCTCCTGTAATCTCGTTCTTCCTTGCCGCGTTTCGTTCTACCTTTTCGCCGTTCCGCACGCCTCGATGAAAACGCAAAATGTCGCACAAAGCACGCATCGAGCGTGCTCCTGCGCCCGGCTCCCAGGAAAAGAGGGCCGCGGCGGCCCGGAGGGAGGGGGAGGTAACGGCCAGGAGAGAGAGTAGGTGGAGGTTGCGAATAAAAAACGAAGCGGGACGGAGGGAGAACGGTGGAGAAGGAAAAATTACGAGCGCGACGAGAGTTTATGTTTCCCCGGCGAATTCGTTATAATTCTTTTTTCCCCCGTTTTTCCCTTCTGCAATTAGTGCCGCGTTATGTTAGTCGAACTGGATACCGCGCGGTTGTGGCATTAATTAACACACGGGCTTTCGACGGTTTCGCTCGTCGGTCGCGCCACCGCCGGGCGTTTCGACGTTCCCCATCGGAAACGGACGTCTCGTTCAGACACCCTTGCCCGCTGGAGCCGCGCCGCGGCTCGACGCTCTCTGTTTTCGGGCTCGTTGGATCCCGCTTTGATCGGACCGAATATTCGCTCGCGAATTCACTGAAATTTCGGTAGACGCGCTCCTGAAGTTTCTACAGAGACGTTGACCGTTTGCTAGGGAATGCCGCCATAATGGCGACGAGCTTCGATACCTAAATTCGAGAACTGAAGGAGTAACTCCATCGTTCGAATAACGAGATACATGGCTCTCTTTTCTCTAGC